TCATTCATGAAAGGTCACAATGTTTGAGAAAGGTGCCCCTTCATCTTTGAGCTACTTATGGTGTGAATGAGCTAAAGGTGAGCTGGCCATAGGTGACTTGTAGCATGCATAACATTATGGCAGAACCTTGTGAAAAGGTACCTCTTGAGATGACAACTATTCACGAAAAGGTACGTTTTAAAAATTTTGACTTAGGACATATTTGAAGTGTCCTAAGTGGTGATGATGATGGTGCAGCTCCTGATGTGATCCTGTCTAGCTCCAAATTTCTCCATGATTTGATCACACCATGGAGGTTATTCAAATCTAGTTCTAAGGGAGTTCTACCTTACTTTATCTTATATTTACTTATTTATGCACTATATATTATTATAAGCATACAATTTCATATTAGACTATGCTTGAATTATCATAACATGTGCATTCATTCATTATATCCTATGGTTTGCATCATTGATTGATATTCATGCATATAATCTATAGTTGTAATAATAATATTCATTCATTATCGTATGATGCATGAGTTATTATTATAACCTATAGTTCACATCTTTATAATATGCACATTCTTATTACTTTATAATAATTCATATACTTAGTTTATATTATGCTTTCTTTTGTAGGTGCATGTTCGGCCACATGTTGGGAACTGATTTAAAGCTAGCATGGGAGTCAATGAGCTAGGAAAACTTCCATAAGATGACTCGGGAGATCATGAAGAACAAATGATGAAAAGTTGTCAGCTGACCTCTGAGCTCATAGCTCACTTGAGCTGGATTTTTGAGCTAGCTAGAGACTTCTTTTCAGCTGGAGAGTTGCACCATCATCTTCACCACATAGAGCACTACAAATATGGTTTAGGTCGAATTTTGTGAATTCGTACCTTTTCGCGAAGAGTTTCCAATCCGAGAAGTGCCCTTTCACAAGGAGCTGTCCTAAGACTCATTGACATGTATTGCATCTATGGCCAGCTCATCTTCAGCTCAAACACTTGTAAAGTACCTCAAATGATGAAAGGTTACCTTCACATAATGTAACCTTTCATGACAAGTTGCTGCCCAATGAAGGACATGACTCCTAGATGCATGTTGGAAGCCAAGTCACGCCTAGTTGCTGCCATATTCATTCCATGGACTTCAAGACACCATCATATGGTTGTAACATCACCAAAGCCTTCCAAGAAGACCCATGTGCGTTCAAATAGGCAGCCATGTGCATCATTCAAGCATGTGCACTCCATGTGACATCAAATTGGCGCCAAAACACCAAGGGATGCATCCTATTCGGCCAAAGACTCTTTCCTCTTCATTTTGGCGCCCAAATAACTTCCAAATGCATTCAAATCAACCTTAGGGCCGAACCAACACATAACCATTCGGCCAAGAGCATGTATCTTCATTTAAATCATGTATTTTCATCAAAAATCATGTATTTTCAAAGGGGTTTCAACTTTGGCCGAACCATCAAGTATCTATTCGGTCTAAACCCTTTGAAAACTATAAATAGGCTATTGCATTTCATTTGTAACTGAACCCTTTTGATATTAAAAATCCTTTATGAGATTATTCTCTCTTCAAGTTCTTTTTAGAACTATATCGATTAAGCAAGCATTTTCTAAAGCTTGTGGCGTCATTCCCTCATTGATACTTCTGGTTCCTAGTTTAAATAACTAGTGGGTCAAAGTCCTTTCATACCATCCCTTATAGAACTTATAAGAAACGGGTCTTTGCTCCTTTATAGCATTGGTTCCTTCTTAGTTTTATAAGATACAATCTGTCCAACACCATCTTCCATCTCCATTATCACGCCTATATCATCACCATAGTCCATCACCATTATCACGCCTTTATCATCACTATAGTCCATCTCCATTATCACGCCTATATCATCACCATATTCCACCACCATTATCACGCCTATATTATCACCAACTTATAAATTTCCATTTCTTCATCTTTGAATTATCCTTCATCCTCAACAAGGCATTCGTCCATCATCATCATTGGAGGCCGAATCCATCATCACTTGAAGGATCATTCTACAACACTTCTGCAGCCCTTCTTTGATAACTATTCTATCCATTTCTATTCTTTCCATTTCTATTTCATTTCTTAATTATCATATTACTTAATCAATTCTTCTTCTTTTGTGCAGATTACTTTCAATCCAAGGTGTAGCATTTGGTGTCTCTCCTAGATCGGGAAACAACAAGGTTGCCAACTTCTCCATTATTGAAGAAGCCTGGTTAGCCTTACATCAAGCGGTAATCAGAGCTTTGGTGGATTGACATTCAAAGTGCTACAACAAAAAGCAACGAGAAAGAATAAAAGAAAAAAAAAAGAAAAAAAAAAGACTCCTACAACAAATTTGGAGGGTAAAAGAAAGAAAAGAAAAGAAAAAAATTCAAAGCAAAAGAAAAAGTGAAGCAAAGTTGCAAAGTACACTCAAAGAGAAGCATATTACAATCTGCCCAACATCAAACTTGAAGGAGGTATCCTTGTTGTTTCTTGTGAAGGAAGATAGTAAGTGTTACAACTTGAGTTGTAAGTTATCTTCATTTTTTTTATCATTTCATTTCTTTATTCTTTCATCTTTTCTTATTTCATTACCATATTTTTTCTAAACCTTTTTCTATACTACCATAACCATTTTCTATTCCTAACCATTCTAAACCGACGCACAAACTAAAGAAACTTGCTTAATCTTGAGTTAGTTCTTAAAAAGGACCCACAAGAGAGAATTGAGCGGTAAAAGGCAAACGAGAGAGTGAGATTAGAAGGGGGATCAGAAAAAGCCAAGAACATATCCCCAAGTGAAAACACGAGTGTGAATGGAGTGACATTTTAATTTCTTTGGAGTGTTACTGTGAGGTTTTGTGAGAGTGTTATTGGTAGGGTCCTTTTACACATTTTCATTCTTTATTGCACTGACAATTTTTCAATTTTTCAATGAAGTATGAACAGCAAAGAATGAATGCATTTCACACTCGTTGCCATGTAGATGGTAAAGTGTGTCTTGTAGCTATTGACGGAGGAAGTTGTGCAAATCTTGCAAGCACATACATGGTCACGAAGTTGGGACTTACAACATTCAAACAACCCAGTCCATATGTTTTGCAAGGATTAAATGAAGATGAAGAGTTAGAAGTCACAAAGCAAGTTGTCATCCCGTTTTCAATCGGCAAATATCAAGATAAAGTTCTTTGTGATATTGTACCAATGGATGCTGGACATATACTTTTGGGAAGACTGATGTAAGGTACTTGTACCTTTTCAAATGATTGTGGATCTAGGAAGGAAGCAAAACAACCTGCAAAGTAAATGGCTCAAAATAGAATGGTTAAGGGTGGTAGACGTAGGGATGAAATGGTAGGCTATTTAAATAATGAGTGATGAAAGCGGAAGATAGTTGATAAGGGTATGGTTATGGAGATGAAATAAAGGAATGGTTGTAAGGATAGTATCTTGAAGAAATCTCAAAGAAGAACCAATGCTATAGAGATCAGAGACCCAATCTTTATATTGCTTCTTCAAGGGGTGGTATTAAGTACTTTGACCCACTAGTTATACGAACTAGGAACCAGAAGTATCAAGATGAAAGAAAAGGGGTTGACGCCACAAGTATAAAATACTTGATAAGTCGATAATAAGTCACCAGGACTTAAGAAGAGAATAATCTCACTTTAATTGAATAAAAAGGTCTAGTTACAAATGAAATATGCTTTCCTATTTATAGGAAATGGAAGGATATGGCCGAATGGTTACAAGAGGTTTCGGCCAGCCCTTGTGCCTCTATAAAATGACATAATTTAATTACAAATAGAGAGGATGGTTCGGTTTAAATGGAAGAAAATATCCTTTGGCCGAATAGTGCTTGTACCCCTTCAAGTTGGCGCCAAATTAGAGAGAAAGGAGTGCTTAGCCGAATGGTAAGAGGACTCTTCATCTTGGCGCCTAAATGAAGTCACACGCCTATCACATGGTGGTCTGGTCACAAGGCGTGCACATGGCCTCTCTAGGATGCTTGTGGTGTAGCCTTACGCATAGAATGATGGCTGGTCATGTGCTCCATCTTGGGCGTGCATGTGTCTCCTTCCAAGCTAGCTTGAGTGTTGAGCTAGCTAGCAAGAATGGGGCTGTTTATGAATGATCTTCCTAGCCGAGTCCTTTTGAGCTCCATAACAGCATGTTCAGCTACATTCAGCTACCTTTGTCATCACTTTTAGCAACTCAGCTTCAAATAGTCCAACTAGCTAAGTTTAGCTAGCCTGAAGCTTCTCCAGCTGAATCGAGCTTCCCTTAGCATTCCATGAGCTGCCTTGTACTTTGTGAGCTGTTTGTGAGCTATATGTGACTTCCAAATCGTTCACCAAGCTACCTCAACGTGCATCATACTCCATTGTACCTATATGTGCAAGGAAACAAGGTAAGTTCATGATATTGAGCTAAAACGAGCTAAATACCTTGCTGCCATGTTTGTTTATGGTAATGTGAGCTAAGTATGATGGTCATGAGCTAAGTACATCATCTCCTAATATGTGTAAGATAATGTATAAAGCCTAAGAGTTAATATGAATGCAAATAAACTAATGAAATGCATTATAAGTATGCTGCCTTGATGTATATATAATAATCATGCTTAATATGATAATAAAACTATCCTAACATGTTTAACATATTAAAATAACAATGTATAATATGAATTCATACTAAGTTATTCTTTAGCTATTAAAACATTATATAACATAACATTAGAGAGTGTTAAGTTATCAAATGAATCAAAAGCTTCAAGACACTTAGTTAAGAGCACTTCCCTGAATTGTTTGGCCCTTGACCTAGTAATGGGACCGTGTGGCATGACCTCCGGATCTGGTGTAGACGTGACTATATCATCCCCCCTTCTTTTAAGCGATTTGTCCCCAAATCGTGTCCATCCTCAAAGGGAGATAAGTCAGTGATGTTGAATGAAGCACTGACGCCACCAAACTCACTGGGCAATTCAATTTTATAGGCATTGTCGTTGATCTTTTCTTTAATCTGAAATGGACCATCTCCTCAGGGTAATAGTTTAGACTTCCTTTGGTTTGGGAATCTTTCCTTCCTAAAGTGTACCCAAACCCAATCTCCTATGTCAAAAGTTACCTTCTTCCTTCCTTTGTTTGCTTGTTGTTCATATTGTCTTGTTCTTCTCTCAATATTGTCCTTGACTTGTTGATGGAGTCTTTTAACAAATTCTGCTTTGTTCTTTCCATCTTTGTTCACTATCTGATCATAAGGTAAAGGAAGTAAGTCCAAAGGAGTTAAAGAGTTGAAACCATACACTACCTCAAATGGAGAATGTTTAGTTGCCGAGTGAATGGTTCGGTTGTATGCAAATTCCACGTGTGGTAGGCATTCTTCCCATGTCTTAATATTTTTCTTGATGATGGATCGTAGTAGCGTTGATAAAACTCTATTAACTACTTCAGTTTGACCATCCGTTTGAGGATGACATGTAGTAGAGAATAGCAGTTGTGTGCCTATTTTACTCCACAAAGTCCTCCAAAAATGACTTAGGAACTTAACATCTCTATCTGACACAATAGTTCGAGGAAGTCCATGTAACCTTACCACTTCTCGGAAGAATAAGTTGGCAACAAAAATAGCATCATCAGTCTTGTGACATGGTATAAAGTGAGCCATTTTGGAGAAACGATCAACCACCACAAATATTGAATCCTTCCCACTCTTTGTTTTTGGTAAACCTAAAACAAAGTCCATTGAAATATCTATCCATGGCATGGTTGGTATTGGCAAAGGCATGTATAATCCATGAGGCATGACTCTTGATTTGCCCTTTTACATACTAAACACCTTTCACATACCTTTTCAACATACCTTTTCATCTTTGGCCAAAAGAGGTGTTCTTTCAGAATGTTAAGAGTCTTTTCAACTCCAAAGTGTCCCATGATTCCTCCTTCATGTGCTTCTTTGGTTAACACTTCTCTTATGGAACCTTGTGGAATACATAATCGTCCTTCTTTGAAAAGATATCCATTATGCTGATAATACTTATCATGAGCACCTGTTTCACATAACTTATACCTTTCTCCAAAGTCCAAATCAGTAGCATAATGTTCCTTAATGAATGAAAAACCAAGAAGTTTGGAATCCAAAGTGTTAAGTAAAACATACCTGCGTGAAAGAGCATCTGCCACGACATTATCCTTTCCTCTCTTATAGTGGATGACATATGGAAAAGACTCAAGAAATTCAACCCATTTGGCATGTCTCTTGTTGAGTTTGTGTTGTCCTTTGATATGCTTTAATGCTTCATGGTCAGTGTGTATCACGAATTCCTTTGGCAATAAATAGTGCTGCCAAGTTTCCAATGCTCGAATGAGTGCATACATCTCTTTGTCATATGTTGGATAGTTCAGAGTTGCACCATTTAGTTTTTCACTAAAATAGGCAATGGGTTTTCCTTCTTGACTTAGAACAGCACCAATTCCAATTCCGGAAGCATCACATTCAACTTCAAATGTTTTCTCAAAGTTTGGCAAGACTAGTAATGGGGCCTTTGTCAAACAATCTTTGAGTTCGTTGAAAGATTTATCTTGTTCATTGCCCCAAGAGAAGTTTGAATTCTTCTTAATAATCCCTGTTAAGGGTGCAGCAATGGAACTAAAGTTTGGTACAAACCTTCTGTAAAAGCTGGCTAATCCATGGAAACTTCGAACTTGACTGACATTAACCGGTTTTGGCCATTCTTGTATTGCCTTAATCTTCTCTGGATCCACTGATAATCCCTGTGAACTTACAATAAAGCCTAAGAAAGTAACTTGATTAGTACAAAAATCACACTTTTTGAGATTAGCATATAAATGTTCTTCTCTCAAAGTGCTAAGAATAGATCGTAAGTGTTCAACATGATCTTTCAATGACTTACTGTATATCAAAATAGCATCAAAGTAAACAACACAAAACTTACCAATATAAGGCCGAAGGACATGATTCATTAAACGCATAAAAGTACTAGGGGCATTATTCAAGCCAAAAGGCATGACTAACCATTCATACAAACCTTGTTTGGTTTTGAACGCAGTTTTCCACTCATCACCTTCCTTCATTCTTATCTGGTGGTAGCCACTTTTCAAATCAATTTTGGAGAAGATATTGGCCCCGCTAAGTTCATCAAGCATATCATCCAACCGAGGTATAGGGTGCCTATATTTGATAGTGATTTGATTCACTGCTCTACAATCCACGCACATTCTCCAAGTTCCATCTTTCTTTGGTACCAATAAAACGGGAACATCACATGGACTTAAGCTTTCTCGAATGTAACCTTTGTTTAGGAGTTCTTTGACTTGTTTTTGCAATTCCTTTGTTTCTTCAGGATTACTCCTATATGCTGGTCTATTAGGAATGGTGGCTCCAGGAATGAAATCAATTTGATGTTCAATTCCTCTAATCGGTGGTAATCCATCGGGAATTTCCTCAGGAAACATATCCTCAAATTCCTGCAAAAGATTAGAAATAGAAGAAGGCAAACCTTTAGGAGGGTTAGTAAGGAGAAAACTTTCCTTATACATAAGTATAAGTAGAGCTTTCTTAGTTGATAAATGTTTCCGAATATCTCCTCTGCTGGCATAGATATTCATTTTTGGAGTATGGATTTCTTTGGCCTTCTTTTCTTTCGCCCATTCTTCTATGCGTGATTTGAGGGTCACTTGACATTCCTGAACTTGGCTTGGTAACAAAGGTGCCAATATGATTTTCTTTCCCTGATGTTGGAATGAGTACTTGTTAGAGAATCCGTCATGGGTGGCTTTCTTATCATATTGCCAAGGACGTCCTAGTATAAGGTGACTTGCACTCATGGGTACCACATCACAAAGGACTTCATCATTGTATCTTCCAATTGAGAAAGGTACAATCATTTGCTTGGTTACCTTGGCTTCTCCCACATCGTTGAGCCATTGGAGTTTGTAAGGATGAGGATGTTTGGAAGTCTTGAGACCCAACTTTTCCACCATGTGAGTACTTGCTACATTGGTACAACTTCCTCCATCAATGATCACCACACAAATTTTATCTCCCACGTGACATTTGGTATGGAAGATGTTTTCTCTTTGTTCATCATCTTGACTTTGAATGTTCAAAGTCCTTTTGACTACAAAAATGTTGGATGGAAGAGACATGTTAGCAAATAAGGAAAAATTGAAATGTGTGTAGGACCTTACCAGAATATTCTCTCACAAAGCCTCACGAGTCACTCCAAGAAAACTTGATGTCACTCAATCCGCTCGTGTTTGCACTCTAGGACTTTAATGGCTTTTACTTGTCCTCTTTTGATCTCACACACGCTCCAGCCTTTTTCCTCAATTCTCTTATCTCAAGTTCTAATGAACTTTTACTCAAGACTATATCGAGTAATTTCACTTGTTTGGCGTCGGCTGCAAATGGTTAGTATGAATGGAAAACAAATATAATTGAAAAGGTGGCTTAGAAATTAGAAAGAAGAGAATGAAAGAGTTACTTACACAAGTCACTTCACAACCTTCTATCACCACAATCAATTTTAAAGGCTTACTTGAAAATGCTTGGTGATGAGAATTGTTGATGAGTGCTTCCAACTTTTCTTTCTTTTCTTTGCTTTTTCTTCTTTTTGAGTGCTTTGACTTTTGAGTCCTTCAATTTTCTTTGCTGATTTTTTTTCTTTTTCTTTGACTTTGCACTTCACTTTTGCACTTCTTTTTGTATTTTTCTTTTTGTTGTTGTTGCACGTTGCTTCTTCCACCAAAGCTCTGATTACCGCTTGATGTAAGGTACTTGTACCTTTTCAAATGATTGTGGATCTAGGAAGGAAGCAAAACAACCTGCAAAGTGAATGGCTCAAAATAGAATGGTTAAGGGTGGTAGACGTAGGGATGAAATGGTAGGCTATTTAAATAATGAGTGATGGAAGCGGAAGATAGTTGATAAGGGTATGGTTATGGAGATGAAATAAAGGAATGATTGTGAGGATAGTATCTTGAAGAAATCTCAAAGAAGAACCAATGCTATAGAGAGCAGAGACCCAATCTTTATATTGCTTCTTCAAGGGGTGGTATTAAGTACTTTGACCCACTAGTTATATGAACTAGGAACCAGAAGTATCAAGATGAAAGAAAAGGGGTTGACGCCACAAGTATAAAATACTTGATAAGTCGATAAAAAGTCACCAGGACTTAAGAAGAGAATAATCTCACTTTAATTGAATAAAAAGGTCTAGTTACAAATGAAATATGCTTTCCTATTTATAGGAAATGGAAGGATATGGCCGAATGGTTACAAGAGGTTTCGGCCAGCCCTTGTGCCTCTATAAAATGACATAATTTAATTACAAATAGACAGGATGGTTCGGTTTAAATGGAAGAAAATATCCTTTGGCCGAATAGTGCTTGTACCCCTTCAAGTTGGCGCCAAATTAGAGAGAAAGGAGTGCTTAGCCGAATGGTAAGAGGACTCTTCATCTTGGCGCCTAAATGAAGTCACACGCCTATCACATGGTGGTCTGGTCACAAGGCGTGCACATGGCCTCTCTAGGATGCTTGTGGTGTAGCCTTGCGCATAGAATGATGGCTGGTCATGTGCTCCATCTTGGGCGTGCATGTGTCTCCTTCCAAGCTAGCTTGAGTGTTGAGCTAGCTAGCAAGAATGGGGCTGTTTATGAATGATCTTCCTAGCCGAGTCCTTTTGAGCTCCATAACAGCATGTTCAGCTACATTCAGCTACCTTTGTCATCACTTTTAGCAACTCAGCTTCAAATAGTCCAACTAGCTAAGTTTAGCTAGCCTGAAGCTTCTCCAGCTGAATCGAGCTTCCCTTAGCATTCCATGAGCTGCCTTGTACTTTGTGAGCTGTTTGTGAGCTGTATGTGACTTCCAAATCTTTCACCAAGCTACCTCAACGTGCATCATACTCCATTGTACCTATATGTGCAAGGAAACAAGGTAAGTTCATGATATTGAGCTAAAACGAGCTAAATACCTTGCTGCCATGTTTGTTTATGGTAATGTGAGCTAAGTATGATGGTCATGAGCTAAGTACATCATCTCCTAATATGTGTAAGATAATGTATAAAGCCTAAGAGTTAATATGAATGCAAATAAACTAATGAAATGCATTATAAGTATGCTGCCTTGATGTATATATAATAATCATGCTTAATATGATAATAAAACTATCCTAACATGTTTAACATATTAAAATAACAATGTATAATATGAATTCATACTAAGTTATTCTTTAGCTATTAAAACATTATATAACATAACATTAGAGAGTGTTAAGTTATCAAATGAATCAAAAGCTTCAAGACACTTAGTTAAGAGCACTTCCCTGAATTGTTTGGCCCTTGACCTAGTAATGGGACCGTGTGGCATGACCTCCGGATCTGGTGTAGACGTGACTATATCAAAGACCGTGGCAATTCTATAGACGAGCAATCCATGATGGGTTTACAAAAAGATTTTCTATAACCCATAATGGCAAGAAATTCACTTTGACGCCACTTTCTCCTAGTCAAGTGAATGAAGAGCAGCAACATTTGAAGAAAAGAATGGAATCATTCAAAAATGTTGAAATTAATGAGAATCAAAGAGTAGATGAAGAAAACATTGGAGTTGAAAATGAGAAAGATAAATTTGGAGAAAAAGAGGAGAGTGAAGAACAAATTTTATCTAACCTTTCTTCTCCTATCATTATTTCTGTTTTACAGGGCAATTTCAGAGACGTGTCTTTTCAAGGTGATGATTCAAGAATCATGGCTTTTGGAGGACTAAAAGATGTGACTTTTGAAGAACAAATAGTTGTTACTTTTGGTGGTCAACGAAACATATCTCTTGATGTTTCAAAGATAACGTCGTTTGAAGTTCCAAGAGAAGCGTCACTTGAAGTGCCAAGAGTTGTGTTTGTTGAAATACCAAGTGCATTGCCAATTATGAAAAGAATTCAGCAACCAACTCCCATTAAACATCTGCCCTAGTTTGATGGCAGATGTGTCCATTCATCTTGTCAATAGTTTTTCATTTACTTATTTTGATTCATTTTGCAGCAATTCAATTCATGTCTGTGGCATTATCTTATCAATTTGTGATGACAAGGATGATTCAAAAGACACAATTTGTCAAGGGAAAGAGCCAAGAGACGTGAATCATAAAGGCTTAATGGACATGACCCTTCAAGAGCATAAAATCATGAATTTTCATGATCCAATGGACATGACTTTTGGGATGCCAAGGAACATGATCATTCAAAGCAACATGTCTTCAACAGACATGATTTTTAACCAACCATCAAACACCAACATGAAGTACAATTTTCCTTTATTTATATTTAATCATGTTTTTACTTATGAGAGTTATCTTTCTTTTCAGGTCATGTACGTTCAAAGCACTTATTCAAAGGATATGACTTATGAAAAGAATCATTTCATAAAGATCCCTGTTGCATATATCGGATGGGAGGACACTAAGGAGAAGTCACCTTTCGATTTGAGGACAAATCGCTCAAAAGAAGGGGAGGATGATGTGATCCTGTCTAGCTCCAAATTTCTCCATGATTTGATCACACCATGGAGGTTATTCAAATCTGGTTCTAAGGGAGTTCTACCTTACTTTATCTTATATTTACTTATTTATGCACTATATGTTATTATAAGCATACAATTTCATATTAGACTATGCTTGAATTATCATAACATGTGCATTCATTCATTATGTCCTATGGTTTGCATCATTGATTGATATTCATGCATATAATCTATAGTTGTAATAATAATATTCATTCATTATCGTATGATGCATGAGTTATTATTATAACCTATAGTTCACATCTTTATAATATGCACATTCTTATTACTTTATAATAATTCATATACTTAGCTTATATTATGCTTTCTTTTGTAGGTGCATGTTCGGCCACATGTTGGGAACTGATTTAAAGCTAGCATGAGAGTCAATGAGCTAGGAAAACTTCCATAAGATGACTCGGGAGATCATGAAGAACAAATGATGAAAAGTTGTCAGCTGACCTCCGAGCTCATAGCTCATTTGAGCTGGATTTTTGAGCTAGCTAGAGACTTCTTTTCAGCTGGAGAGTTGCACCATCATCTTCACCACATAGAGCACTACAAATATGGTCTAGGTTGAATTTTGTGAATTCGTACCTTTTCGCGAAGAGTTTCCAATCCGAGAAGTACCCTTTCACAAGGAGCTGTCCTAAGACTCATTGACATGTATTGCATCTATGGCCAGCTCATTTTCAGCTCAAACACTTGTAAAGTACCTCAAATGATGAAAGGTTACCTTCCACATAATGTGACCTTTCATGACAAGTTGCTGCCCAATGAAGGACATGACACCTAGATGCATGTTGGAAGCCAAGTCACGCCTAGTTGCTGCCATATTCATTCCATGGACTTCAAGACACCATCCTATGGTTGTAACATCACCAAAGCCTTGCAATAAGACCCATG